GTGTGCCACCATGCCCGGCCCAACAGCTTTATTTTTAATGGCCCAAACTAGAAACAACTCAGATGCCATCACTAGAATGAGTTGTGCAATACAATGGGATATTTCACAGCAGTAATGTGAAAAATCTCATTGGCACCAAGTAAAACTGGCAGGACACAAGCATACATATACGATTTCATGTATGTGAAATGGTAGAATAGATTTGTAGCAATCAGAATTAGATTAATGTTTTCCTGTAGCAGGTGTGATGAAGTAGCTGCAGAGAGGCATAAGGTAGCTTTCCGGAGAGGTAACAGTGTCCTATATTGTGATTGTTGTGGAATCTTCACAGGTTTACGAATTTATCAAAGGGGCATCAACTTCTATGTTACTAAATTGGATTTTATTTTACATATTTTGTACCTCTGTGAAATTGATTAAAAATAGCCTGTTTCAAATTCTAAAATGTATTTTAAAAGTAAACATTTTGTATAACACTACCCATTTTAAGTGTTACATATCATTGTGATTAATATAGCTTAATATATTTACTAATTTCTTAGATGATGATGGTGTGAATGACACTATTCTCAGCTCACATGTAGGTTCATTTTAGGTGATCATCCTCAGATATGGTAATTATTGTGTGTTCTATCCATAAGAGTCCTGAAAAGCTGTTTGTTCAGAACTCATCCTGAAAACTGAGGCCTTTTGAGTTCAATCTGGTTTATACGGGATTTAGCTGAAACTTAGTATTGAGAATTAGTTTTAAGGATTCTTGAAGTTTTTCTGTGGAGTTTTAGTTATTACCTTATTGATTTTATTGAAAGTGAAATTTGAAGGTAATACTTAGTATTACTAGTTCTACTATTGTTAGTTACCATAATATATTATTTAATTATTCAGTATTATTTGGAGTAACAAACTTTCTCCTGTTTTCTCTCTAGCCCATTTTTTAGTGAGGAATTTTACTTTGAGATTCCAAGGAGTTTCCAGTATTTGTCTTTCTATGTTTATGATAAGAATGTTCTACAAAGAGACCTTCGTATAGGTGGGTACTAGTCATAATTATTTTTAATTAAAACATTCTTTCTCTAAGTTTAAAATGTTGAAAACTGTAGAATAGTACATCCTCAGTGTTTCTAAACCTTTTCTTCTAATCCTTTTCTTGCAAATGAACTTGGTGTTCATTTGTAAATTTGATTTTTAATTTATGTTTGGCTTGTGTGACACTTCCTCAGGGGGACCTTTGCTGATTCCCTGTAACATGTTTCCGTACTACTTGATTATTCCTTTTTGATAGTAATCATTATGTTTGTTCCTTAGTTCATCATTTAATATCTAGATTCTCTAAGTAAATGTTATATTACTCATTTTGTCCTGTCTCTGGGACAAAATACCTGATACCAAAGCTTAGAGGACCAGAGGTTTATTTGGCTCATGGTTTTAGTGGTTTCGGTCCATATTTGACTGGCTCCCAGGCAGAAACATCGTGGTAGAAGGCTGTGGCAGAGCAAATCTGCTTATTTCATGGCAGCCAAAAAGCAGAAAGCAAGAGCTAGGTGGAGAGATGTCATCCAGAGGCATGTCCCAATGATTCACCTCCTCTGACTGGCCCCACATCTCCTAACAGCGCATTCAACTAGAAACTCATCAATGGATTAGTTCAGGGATGAATACAGCACTCACGTGATCTAGTCAGTCACCTTCCAGAAGTGCCACCTGTGAACGTTAAGTCTTTTGGGGGACATTTTAGATCCAACCACAACAAATGTGGTACTTATGAAGGCAGGAACTGTGTCTCACAGAATGTCTTACATTTAGTAAATGTTCAGAAAGTACTTAAAAGTCTCAAATAATTTTTTATAATTGATTTATCTGAGGAATATCTATTTTTAGGTTTTTTTCTAATAGAAGTGATAATTAACTTTAATTATACGTTTTCTCCCTGATTGTATTTACTGACCAATAAATATGTTTCTTAATTAATTATCTTAAGACTGGAATTGATATTTGAATGTAGAATGAAACTGGCTGCATTATGTGTCACATTCATGGTCATTGCTTCATGGCAGAGGTCTAATTTGTATGTATTATCCTCTCTTTTTTTAGTGTCCTGAATTTCATCATTTCTGTATCTCCATACTGATTTGAAACATGTTCAAGTCTTCTACAGTTTAAAACATTAAGGTGTATCTGACTTTATTCTCTTAACTAACTTATAGTGTCTCTCTTTTTGCTGTTAAACTCCTTAACAGATGATCTGTATGCATTGTGTGCTTAAAACTTTTTTTTTTTAGATTTCTATAATCTGATTGTTCATTTTTCTAACCTTTTTGCGTTTGCAAAAGTTATTTTAAGGCAAATTAAATAACCTTTAAAAAACTTTTTTATTACACAATTATTAACATGTTCTTAATAGCTTATAATGACTGCCTAAGAATAGCTTTGGTTGATCATTTGGCATATTTCTTCCCATTATTTATTTCTTACATTCGTATCATTATATCTATATTACTGTGTTACTATTCAGGTTTTCCCTTTTTATTTAATATCATACAGTGATCTTTCCTGGGTATCACTTATATTTTACAAAAATATTTTCTGCATAAGGTCCTTTGTATTAAAATGTTTTATTGGTAAACATTTATGTTTCCACATTTTTGGTACTTTAAATGGTGCTACTGTGAACAAATATCCTTCTACACAACTTTTTGCATGTCTCCTTTTTCTTAGGATAAATTCCTAGAAGTGAAAATATTGAGTCAAAGGCTATGAATATTTTTTAGATTTCTTCTGTATATTTCTACACTGACATCTAGAAATGTTGTACTGATTTACAGTTCCCTGAGAATGGAATGAGCCTAACAATTTTACCATACCCTGCCTGTTCTTGGCTATTACCATTGGAAAAAAATTGCCAGGTGAAAAATAATAATTTAATTTGTGTCTTTTTGATTTTTAAGAAAAGTTGAATTTTTTAGATTTTTGTTTTTACATGTTTTTTATTCTTTGAATTGTTCTTTTACCTATTTTTCTTTTCCTTGATTTTTTTATTTTTTATTTTATTTTATTTTATTTATTTATTTTGTACTGGAGATCAAACTCAGGACCTTGAGCTTGTGAGGCAGGCAGTAGAACCACTGAACTAAATCCCTGGCTCGGTTGATGTTCTTTTAATCTTCAGCATTCCTATTTGTTAGGTATGTTAGCTTTTTTCAGATAGATGCCTACAAATATTACTTCTCTGTCACAAAAGTTATTGTCTTAGCTTTTATCCTCATCTGCCTATGGGTCACTTTTGACTTTCTTGATTGCTTTCTCAACTTGCTGAAAGACAAGGAAAAAACATTTTCATCATGTTGTATCTTTTTAAATGTCATTCTCCTTCTGACTACTTCTAGATTTACATGCAGACTTTTTGTTTCTAGCAATCCTTTATTTATGGATCAACCTTAAGGCATCATACTTAATTCTGTTAAACTTTGTTGGGGTACAAGAAGGATCAGACTTTTAAGATGATGAAGGCTCAGAATGTCTCCAGGGTATCAGAGGGGCAGACTTGTATTGTAATATACAAGTTGAGTATCACTTTTTGAAATGCTTGTGACCAGAAGTGTTTCAAATTTAACTTTGGAATATTTTTATAGACTTTCCTGGCTGGGCATCTCTAGTCTGAAAATCCAAACTCTGAAACTTTTGGAATGTCATGTTAGTGTTCAAAGTTTCAGATTTCAGAGCATTTCTTAAGAATGTTCCACTTTTTTGCAATAGGAATATAAAAGGGAGAATAACTAACTTTGGTCGAAGATTAACAGAGACTTCTTACATTTGAAAAGAGAGAAGAGTTACCGGGTGATAGGGATGGGCAAAAATGGGTGAAACAGTGAATCTTATTTGTGGTGTATTTTTATGAGTATATAAACTACTTAGGAAGAGATGATAGAAGGTGAAGCTAGAAATGTAAATTGGGATCCTAAAAAACATTTCATATCTCAAAAGCCAAAAAATCTGAACTTCATCCTATAGACAATGATTTTGAAAAGTTTAAGTATATGCCACTATCTATGATATGTATATACATACCACATATTATACTTAATGTATGTAATCTATATATATTGAATTTATAGTTTGAAAGTTATAGTCAGTAGGAAGTTGTTGATTTAGAACAGTGAGAGATTAGAGCATGGAGACCAGTAAGGAGGCTGTTAACAAAAGAGATGAATACAGGTCGTAACAATGGAAATGAAGATGAAGAATTTACCTCAGAGGTTTTCAAATAGGACTGAGGGTTGAGAAGGTATGAGAAGGAGAAGAGGTAAAAATATTAGCTGGGTGCAGTGACGGAGGCCGATAACTTAACCACTTGGGAGACTGAGGCAGAAGAAGCTAAAATTCAGGACAGACCTGGTCAATTTAGTGAGACCCTGTCTGCAAAAACATTACATATATACAAGTGGAAATGAAGCTCAGTGGTAAGAGTACTTGCCTCTAGCATGCACCAGACCTAGGTTTAATCCCCATTATCACAAAACAACAGAAACAGTGTTGTTTCTTTGGGTGTCCTTAGCTAAGATAAGGAACATAGGGAATCATTCACTTTTATTGGGAGTGAAAAGAGTAGGAGAGACTTCAGTTTCAAACAAGTTAAACTTGTATTGCTGGGGAATACCCTAGTGGACATGTTAGTTAATGGCTACGAATATGGATCTGAAGTTTAAAGAAAAGAAGAGCTAGAGGTGTAGATTGAAAGCATTAGTATTAAGTGATACCTGTGTTCACTAAGGAGTTAATCTTGGAAGCTGACCAGTGCTGGATAGTCTGACTTTGGTGCTGGCCCTTAGCTGGTCCTTTATTCTCAACATGGTCTCTGGGTTCTGAAAGAACATGTAATAGTGCACAGGTTTTTATTAAGTGTGTACCTCCATTATATTTGCTGATGTCCCATGGGCAGCTAAAGCAAATCACATAGCCAATCTCAGTATCAGTGCAGGAAGTGGATACACAGTCCCTGAGATAACAGGAAGCATCATTTATTAGAGGCCATTGCTACACCAGTCTGTCACAGAGACCAAAAGGCATCCACCTAAACCCCATACACTTAATACTTCTAAGTATGGCCATTAGCTCTGAGTTTCCATTGTTGACTGCCAGAATTTGATCAGGCTGCTGGTCTACTTTATCTTGAATAAGCAGTCATACTTGTCATTACTTTATATACTCTTTTAGTCATTACTAGTGTCCAAGCAAGAACAAGATTTGTATAAGGTTGGAATTTCTAAGAATTCATTGTAGCTAAATATGGGACCCAGTGACACAGTATTTACTGATGGCAAGGAACTGGTGCTTAAAAGTTGTATTAGAAAGCTAAGAATACTTTTTTTACTTAGAGACAAAGGTGGTTTCTTTGCTCACACAGTTCCTTTATTTCGTTTTGTGTTTCTTCTCCTTGTCTGATTTTAAGGAACTAATGCAATATCTGCAAGTGTGGGTGTGTGGGTGGCTGTGTATGTTTGCTTTTTAACATACACGGTTTCTGCTGTTTGTCAGGACAGTGGGGAAATGAAACATTACCTTTAAATGATTTGTTAGGAGGTTTGCCCTGGGTAAATTTTTTTCTTTTTTGTGGTTGGTGATTTCATGGCTAATGAAATAATGGATTAACTTCTCTCAAAAGGAACGCTAAACTAAAAAATCTGGAGGACAGAGGCACAAAATAATAAAAGATCAATAATTCACCCACAGTGACACAGCTAATAAGTAACAATTGACACTAATTTATAGAATTAATGTCTGTTTCACAAGGTACATGAAGGGGCAGGGATTTAGCTCAGTGGTTCTGCCACCTACCTCACAAAGTGCAAGGTCCCAAGTTCGATCCCCAGTACCAAAAAAAAAAAAAAAAAAAAAAAAAGAAGGTACATGCCACATACATTGGTTTCAAAGTATGTTGTCAGCACTTGTTAGTAGGCGGGGTTTTAAATGTTCATACTTTCTCATTTATAAGATGGTGATAATACCCTCTACCTCTAAGACTTGTTACAAAGATTAAATAAAATATGTGAGAATGTCTATTATTTGGTAGATGTTCAACAAGTGCTGGCTTTTCTGTCATTTCAGTGCTCCTTGTATTATCTATGTTTTACAGTTAAAGCCTGCCAGTCTAACTAATGATACCTCAAAATGACAAATAAGCATCATGAGGTCTTTTTCCTTAGTCTTATTTGCATTTCAAAAATGTGTCCTGACCTTCTCTGTTCCTCTCTTTTCCTTTCTTCATACTTCCTCCTCATTAGCCCTCCTACTCTTTTCTCTCTCCTGTCTCTATCCTCTCTTCCTCACTCCTCTTTTCCTTTTTTATTCCCTAGGGTTGATGAAATATATTTCTTTTTCATATGTTATATTACCTGATAAAGTACTGGATCTGTTGTAGTTATCCCACTAATAACTTCAATTTTTTTTTTAATTTCCTGTCATTTTTACTTAACAGTTTCTGGCTTCTTAAGATCATGTGTTCTTTCTTCTCTATTTCTTCAGGCCACCTAGCCTCATGCAACTAAATCTTTACGTATGAGAAACTTACATCTTTAAAAGGAACTTAAGAATAAGAGCTATAATAAATCGCAAGTTCTTTTCAACAGACCAGGTGACTTATTTATGTAGCTAGCCAGAAAAGAGTTTCCATTGAACTCTTATTTGGTGTTGAGTATTAATGACATAAAATACGGAATAAGGGGAAGAAGGTACTTGCTTCTGGAATGTACCTGTGAGGTTGAAAAGATTCTCTTTTGGGAAGGAACCTGTGACAGAGTTATAATATTTCCAGTGATTTGAGTTGTGAGTCGTAAATCATAAATAGGACAGATGGATTTCTATGGTAGTTTTTAGAAGAATTATTGGTTAGTCATTATTTGAGGAACATGGACATCATATCACCATTTACAACATTGTGCCAGTGTGATAATTTATAGAATGAAGAAATGAATTAGTCAGGCCAATTAATCTGTAAATAAAAGTTTTTAAAACTTCTTTTAAGTTGAGGACTTACTTTATATCATATGTGTAAATTATGTATGAAACTAAAAGTTATGGAACTTGAAGACGACATCCTCACTGATAGTCTGTTGTTGTGTCTGGATGATAAGTAAACTCTCTTTAATGAAATTATACACCAGGTCTGGGATGTATTTCAGTGGTACAGCACCTACCTAGCCTACACAAGCCCTGGATTCAGTCCCCATCACAGGGCTCTTGTGTTCCTTCACAATAGCCTACCCTCATACTGTAGGGCGTACTCCTTCCCCCTACTTTTTTTTTTTTTTGGTGGTGCCAGGGATCAAACTTGGGTCCTTGTGTTTTGAGGCAGGTAGCGTAACCACTGAGCTAAACCCTGGCCCTCCCCCTACTTTTATTTGGCCCAAACTCACTCTGCGCAGCATGTTTCTTTTTTCCTACCTTCAATAAATATAAACACTTGCTACCATTAAAAAAAAAAGCACAGGAAAAAAAATAAACAGAATCCCCACAAAACTGTATGCTGGTTCTCTGTGCATTTTTCTGGGGAGCGGGGCACACAAAGATACCTAGTTACCAAGGTGCTAAAAAGGTGAGGAATCTTAAGTGCTGCAGCTACAGAATATATAGATATATTTCCCTGTGTGTGTGTATTTTTTTAATATCAAGCTATTATGCATTACCTTAAATAAACTTATTTATTAATACTGAGAATTAAAACCAGGACTTCACCTATGCGATGCACATACTCTGCCACTGAGCTGCATTCCCAGCCCTTTTGTTTTTAAATTTTATTATGAGATGGGGCATTGCTGAGTTGCCCAGGTAGTCTCAAATTTGCCATCTTCCTGCCTCAGATTCCTGAGTAGCTAGGATTACAGATGTGCACTGCCACATATTTTTATCTTAGGTGGAGTCCAGGGTAATTGGAACTATAATAATCATCATTTATAACATTGACTGTTTTGTCACAATTTTGTGTCCTAAGTTGTCCCTGATACTACATTGAGTTGCTAGAAATTTTATACAGTTTTTAGATAAAATATGTCAAAACATTTATATGATTTAGGAATTAATTTGTTTCAACAGTGTAAGGAATACTGGGTGTTCAGTCAGTGCTTAAATTCTGTTTTTGGCTTTAATCTGCATATTCAATAGTGGAAGAATTTGTCTCCCCATCATTTGTATCTTAAATTTCACCGAAAAAGAACTAAAGTATATTTTCCTAATGCCACTGCCTACAAGAGTAGAATGAATTGTAAATGCCATATATTCGTGTGAAGAGTTTGATCTGCACATTAGATTGCATCCAGAATATTTTTTGAAATTTGGAAAGATTCATAATTGTTGTGAGGGATAGTTTATTAACTTAAAATTGTTCATGCTTTAAACTTCATGTGTTAATACATATAATTGATGAATTTTCAGTATGTCTCTTTAGGTTGTAATATTAATGCAGTTGTGACTAATAAAATTCTAGTGTATTTTAATGTTTTTCTTAGAATTACACATGGGGTAGGTGGTCTTCCTGGTGTGTTCAAAGTGGTAAGATAAACTTATCAAAATTTTAAATAACAGCTTTGAGATGTAATTTTACATACCATAAAATTTACCCTTTAAAAGTATACATATTTCCAACTTGGTTATCAGTGGTTCAGAAAAAGAATCTCATATGTCAGAATGGGGAGTGGAATGTTAACATATCGTAAAATGTTAACATAAGGGAATATGGGTAAAGAATATGAAAGTTTTATATACTGTTCTTGTAACTGCTCCAAGTTTGAAATTATTTCAGAATAAAGTGTCAAGTGGACATAAAAGCGTATGACAGTGGTTTTTATTTTAACATATTAATAGTTGTGCAAACAATCACTGTTGTTTACTTCTAGAAAAATAGTTTTTGTTATCAAATGTTGAATTTAAAGATCAGGGTATATCATAAGTAAAAAGATATGAGGTATAATTTAAGCACTTAAAATGAAAAAGTCTTATTTGAAAAAATGAAAGTGAACTGCTTTTAACTTTACTGTATGTCCTTTGTTGAGACATTTGTGTAGAATCTTCAATAAATTGTTAGTCATATGCAAAACTATATCTGCTTCTTTAAACTTGAATTGAGGAAGGAAATGCTTTGTACCAACATGGCAAATACTTCATTATAATATGAACAGTTTTTGTTTCTTCCTCTCATATTACTCATTGTTCATTGGATGGTATTTTTCCCAGAGAGATATAAGCTCTTTAGGGAAGAGCTTTGATTTTTGTATACCTTGAAACAATGTAGTCAATGTTTGTAATGTTTTGATAAAATGAATTTGTAATAATAAAATATTTTTCAAGTCTATTTTAAATTTTGTTAGTGATGTATGATACTATTTCTCCTTCCTCACTTAATTGGAAATTATATCCTCTTACTCTATGGAGATATATTTGCTCAAAATTAACCAGAACCTACAGTTCATTCACAATTTTAAAGAACTGGGTGGGGCTGGGATTTAGCTCAGTAGTTCTGCCACCTGCCTCATAAATTCAAGGTCCTGAGTTCAATCCCTAGTACCAAAAAAAAAAAAAAAAAATTAAAAAAAAAAAAAAAAAAAAAAAAAAAAAAAGAGTAAGAGGAAAGAAGTGGGAAGACTGGTTTGCTACATATATGTTGCTTTTTAGACTGAATATATTGAGGGTGAAAATGTTCATCTGAGTAAGTACTAAAAAATGGGGTTGCATGTAAATTAATACAACTGAGTTTTTGTGTACTTTCCTGATTCAAAATAACCCAAGGGGAAATGAGCTACTTCTTCATTCTTTAGATTATAGGAAAAAACTTTATAAATGGATCTTTGATTTGTATCAGTAAGTACAAATTATTCTATTTTTACAAACTATTATATGTAAAGCTAATAAGCCTTAGGATTATCAAAATATATTTTCTCATATTGTTTTACTTATATTCTATAGGCAAAGTAGCCATCAAAAAAGAAGACTTGTGTAACCATAGTGGCAAAGAAACTTGGTTTTCACTGCATCCTGTTGACTCCAATTCAGAGGTTCAGGTAACTATTAAGACTTATGTAATGTAGGAGATTGTCACACACAGAAAATTAATGAAAAACAAACAAATTACTCTAGTTCATGTAGTTGAACCTTATTTGAAATTCTTGTTGTACTTTATTTTAAATTCTAGCACCAAATGTTATATACCTTTAGGTAATACAGCTGAAAAGAAATGGCTTTGCCATATAAATTCAAGGATACTACACGTGTGTTTCAGGAGATTAGGGAGAACATTTTTTCCCCCTGTCTTAGTTCTACTATTCAAGTCACAATAGCAAATATTAGGGTTTTTTTTGTAAGAGGGAGGGAAAGTTTTAAGGGAAAGATTATGTTTTATTAACACTGACCTTGAGGAGAATCCCTGAAAGTGATTTTATTTATTCTCACAAAGATGCTCCATTCACCCTCTAATAAGTTAGACCTAGGAAGATGTTATCAAACCTTGCCTGATAAACCCACCATATAGAGCCTTCATCCCTTTACTCAGCCATCCTGTCGTTCAGAACTATCTCTGTATTTTTAAGGATATCATTACTCCTTTTAGTCTCTTCTTTCCTTTTGCCAAAATAAGAGACCTTTTATAGATTCTATGTGTGAGTAAAGATACATATGTTTAACTATGTAAGCTGCAGTTTCTATTTGTTTCTGAAAAGTTTTGAGTTGCTCTGTTTTAGAAATTATTTCATTTAAAGGGAATCTTTTATTTATAATATGCATATAATATATATAATATATAATCCTATTTATTTATTTGTAAAATATGGTAAAGATTATGAAACCATTTCCTGAGGACATAACTGTAAACAGAATTCTTCCTTTCTAAAAGAAGTTACAATTTGCCACTGTGACTCAAACAAGTTTAAGACAAGAAAAAGTGCTGTGTGCACACCCACAAATAATTTTCAAATAAAGTGCCTGTGTCTCCATTTCCTCATAATCTCTTGAGCATTCTTTGTGATTAAATTCTCAAAATATTAAATTGTTGTGAACCAAAATCCTTTCTTAAATATGAAATATAACTGATTCTTTTCTTATTTGATCCACTGTATCCCAGTTTAGTGTTCATTTCTTTCCATTTGATCATAGTCATTCAAATCCCAATTACATAACATCGTTAATGATCCAACTGAGAAGTAATGAGCAAGTAGAAAGGGCTTAGAGTAGAAGTCAGAAAATTTAGGTCCTATTGTTTCTATGTGGTTATTCCAATGGCTTTAAATTTCATTTCTACAAAATGAAAATAAAAGTTGCCTTATTTGGCTCAAATGGTTGTTAAGAATCAAATGGAACATACTTAAGAGTACTTTAAAAGCTGTTAACCGTTTTGCAAATGTAAAGTGTGTTTTACCAGTGGTCAAGGTAGTGCCTGTTAGCCTTATGTGCCTTTACCAGAAGGCAGATGTGAAAGATGTAAAATAACAGTTTTTCTTTTTAAAAAATTTTTCTTTGTTCATTTTTTCATACAAGATTTAATTCCCTTCCCATACATTCCGCCATGAAAAACTTGATAATCTAATAGTTTTAACAAAACACAAGATAAAAAAAGGCTTTGAAAATTTGGTTTAAAATGAAATTTGAGTATTATTTTAATATTTAGTTTATTAAGTGTATTTCTCTTATGATTGTTGCAAATTTGCTAAAGGATTTAAGGATCTGGTGCTGAAAGTGTGAGGTGTGATTGATGAATACTGTGAATATTAAAGTGTTGTGGTTTTTTTTAATGTAATATGCTAGAAGGCACATTGCCATTAGTCCCTCTCAAAATACATTTCTATCTTTGAGCACACTTATCACACTTATCATTTATTGCCACTTCCTGAAACAGTTGTGGAAGTCCTATTAATGTCTTTAGTTGCCTGTTGTGTTTGCCTCAATGTGCTGAGTTTCATTCAAAACATTTACCTTTTGTGATCATTTTGATGCTGAGGAAGAGCTGCAAGTTGTACAGTGCCAGATCTAGTTAATAAGGTAAATGAGACACTGTGATATTTTTATGAGCTTTCCTTTCCATTGGATGGCACTTGGTAGCAACATTCACTGTGTTTTTTTATCATACTTTGTAAAGACACAAAAGAGGACTTCCAGAAGAACTGCTTCAGAAAGTGGCAGGAATGATAGGATAAGTGTGTTCAAAGCAAGAAGGAGTATTTTGAGGGGAAATAATAACATTGTCTTTTACTGTAATAAATTTTAAGAATTTAAACATTCACTGTATATTTTGATCACCCCTTGTAGAAATCTATATAGAATATTTTATGTATACTTCATGGAGATGGTATTAGAGATTAATATTGGGACACAGTTTTTATTAGATAGCATATATGAAAATCTCATTCCTGAAACATGAAAATTCTGGAAACAGCATTTGTTAGATGTAATGTTTGCTACAGGTTATTTTCATAACTATGAGTTATTGACCTTTAAAGTTGTTTTGTCTTAAATGATAATTAGTAAGACTTACCCATTATTTAAAATAGGTTTTAGAAGAAAGAGTACTTTAGGAGAGGGATACACAGTACTTTTCAGGTTGATACACTATTATTGGGAGTATTGTTGTTTTGCCCCAAACCTGGTCTGGAATACTGAATTAATTTTGTGAGTCTAGAAAGGGGAAAAGTAAACCATAATTTAATACAGTTCTACTTTTTTAAAAAATTAATTTTACTGAGCTGGGCGTGGTGGCACACCTGTAATCCCAGCACTTGGGAGGCTAAGGCAGGAGGATCACTGTGAGTTGGAGACCAGCCTGGGCTACATAATGCATTCCAGGTCAATCTCAACTACTTAGTGAGACCCTATATAAAAACAAAAAAACAAAAAAAAAATTAAGTTTATTGGTACATTTTAGGTGTACATTATGATCACATTCATCATTGGGAATTTGAACCTGTACATGATATAACTTAGTTCTTGTTTTTTTCCCATTCCCCTTCCCTCCTATTTACCCCTCCCTACAGTTCTTTTTTAATTTTTGTTCATTTGTAAATATTTTATCAAATTTTCATGAAGAAATAAGGCCAGTTGAGGGAGACCATGGGGGAAAGCCATATATAGATTGAACTCAATCTAGTACCAGTAGTGGTTACTTTTAGTATTTATAACAGTGTGTATCAAGCACAGTATTTCATATTTAATGTTAATATTTAGTGTTTAATGTATGTTACCTCATTTAATCTTCATACTAGCATTAGGAAGAAGGTGGTATTACCTCCATTTTAGAGATAAAGTAATTGAGATTCATAGAGGTTAAAATGACTTCTCCAGAGTCACAGAACTATTAAGTAGTGGAGCTGAGATTCCAGCAGAGATCTGTTTGATTCTAAGTCTGTTAACTACAGTGTTTTACTACCTTTTACCACTCTGTTCTGTTAGTCATAAAAAGCCTTTTACAGCTCAAGAGGATCATTCATGTATAGTAGAAGGTAAATAATAAGGAACAGAAGTCTATTCAAAAGGGAGGGAGATTAGACAGTTCCTAGAGGGCTTCTTAAAAATGTAATTTCAGGAACTTCAGTATAGCCAGTGTGAGCAAAGAAAGTTATCAGACATTTGCAGAGAGGCTGCATTGGTAGTAGAGGTTAGGTTCTGACAACAAATATTTACATAAATTAAAATTATTTTTGAAGATAATTTCCCCAAGACAGTAAAGTGGTGTTGAATGACCAACACATAAACTGTTTATTTACATTTGGGGCCATAGTGAGTGAAAAATATATACTATATCATTAAACTTTCAGTTCTTCATTCAGTACAATAGTGGATACTGCAGGAGGTATGTGGAAACCGAGACCCACTGATTCAGTTCATATATATATATATTCATTGTGCTCATTGAGTATAGGCATTTGTTTACTGCATAGTGGTTTTTTTTCTTTGCCTTCCATTTTGCAGACTGAATAGTTAATATTTTGTCTTTATCTTTCTCATTTTAATGACTTCACATGAAAAATAAAAGGGAAAAAAATTAAAGATAAGATCCCCTCTTATTTTTTTTTTAATGTCACAGGAGAGTATGTTTCTTCCTCTCCTTGACTCTGAATCCACTCTCTTTTTGACAGCTAAAAAATGCTGTACTAACTTTTGAAGTTGTGTGACCATACAGACTCTTTACTCACAATTTAGAGAATTTGGCTGAACTTGGGTCAGATGTACACTGAAATCTAATTTGATATGCTTAGAGGAAAAGTCTATGTAGTGCTTTATATTTGGGGATTTATGTATCTATCTTTCCGGAGAAAGGGGTTGAGTGGAAGAAATGATTGATATCTCTACCTCAGATGAAGGAGATTCTTTTTTTTCTTAACTGTATCACTAGTTGGCATTTGTACCTAAAATAGTTGCTAAACTACTGTTGCCTGATGATCGTTTGTGAAATGAGAACCTCAGTATGAAGGATTCCTTTTGGTTTTGAGTTCTAGAGAAGTAACATGCAGAAGTGTAATTTAGCCCTATATAAAAAAAATCCCAAAAATAGTAAGATAGGTTTGTACTAAAACTGCTGAAAATTTAAGAGCTTAACTTCTTACCATGAAGTAACTTAATTACCATGAATTAAGGTGCTTAATTGTTGCTATTAGTAATGTTAACAGTTATTTAAATTTTCTTTTCAAAAGTTCAAGATAGTAGTAGTTTTTGAGTTATTTTTCTACCTTAAATTTTTTTCCCTTGGTTTAAAATACCTTTTGCAATTTCCCCTTCCTTTGAGTCAACCATTTTCTTCTTGGTCACTTGAATCTGCTTTGAGACTTCAATACTGTGTCATAAAGAAAGAACAAATGGCTCCTTTGCCTGTGACATTGTGTCACAAAATCTAGGGGACATTTTTCAATCCTGTTACTGGCCTTTTAGCAAATATACTTTGGGGTGACCACTTCTTCCATTTTGAAGCATTCTCTTCCTTAGTTTTTGGTCCTGGTTGTTACTCTACTCCACATATATTCTTTTTTGTATTCTTTTTTTTATTTTTGGTACTGGGGACCTTATGCTTGTTTGCGAGGCA